GATAGGGATGAAATCGTTTAGGGATGAACAGGTTTAAGAGTTTTAAGAGTTTTTAAGAGTTTTAACCAAATGCTTTATAAGATAGTATAGATGGTGGATCGAGTTATTTTGGTACTCACGACACTACTAAAAAAGGATTTTTTTTTTTATGGATTTTTTGCCCGAAAATTTATCGACTGATTTCCTGTGTATACTAAAAAAACTCAATTTTCGTTTACTTTTCCTATTGATTTTTAAAAAATAAAAAGTTAATTCAATTAAATTTTCAGGGATTTGTGGTGGATTTCCGATGATTTATTTATTATTTTTAAAAATCCGTCATGGTCTATTTTTTTTTAAATGATTTAATTAATTAAAATTTGATTGGATTTATGGTGGATTTTAATTAACTAAAATCCAAAACAAATTTTTATTAATTAAATTTTTTTTAAAAATTTCTTACAGATGAGTGACGGATCTCCAATGTGTCACAAAATGCGCCACTGACTTTAAAAATTAATTAATTTTATTGTTTAAAAAAATAAAGAAAATCTCCAAGGTGGAATTGTTGCGGATTTTAATTAATTACGAATTTTAATTAAATAAAATTCGCTACAAATCTATCAAAAAAATTTGTTAATTGAAAATCATTTTTTTATTTTAAAAAAATTATTTTTACAATTTCCGGTGAATTAGTGGTGATCTCTAATCTGCCACTAATTTAAAATTTTAGACAATTTTTCGGTGGATTAGTAGTAGATTGGAGGATGGAAATTCGCCAAACATTTTAAAAATTAATTTTTTATTTTTTATTATTTAGTTATTTTTTATATATATCCTTATATACGTTTCTCATTTTGTTAACATATTTCGTGTATATATATATAAGATACTTACATACACACTACATAAGTGTGTGTGTGTGTGTGTGTGTTTATATATATGTAATATACTTACATACACACTACATAAGTGTGTGTGTGTGTATGTTTATATATATATAAATATATAGAGAGAGAGAGAGAGAAGAGAGAGGGGGGTGGGGAGAAGGGTTCACACAAAAATATTTTCATTTTACAAGAACGTAAGAACATCTTTTTACCATAAACAATCACATGTGATACTATATTCCATTATACATGATACAAATGTGATACTAAATTAAAGACACATATGACTAGGTTGTAGGCCAAGTCACCGTAAGAACACCAAACCCCTCACGTGTATTATCACATATGATAAAAGTGTTATTGATGTGATACTATAATCCATCACATGTAATACTAAATCATAGACACAGACGACCTTTGGCACGACCTAAGTCGCAGAACACGTCGTCAACACACCACCAAGTCCTTTCACGTCTATTATCACATGTGATAAGGGTGTTCTTGCGTTATCATAAAATGGAGGTGTTCTCGTATGAACCTCCACACATACACACACACACACACACACACACACATATATATATATATATATATATATAAATATAAATATAAAGGCGAAGGATATGTGAGAAGGGAAGTTACAATGAGAAACGTGAGAAAAGATCCGAACTCTTGATCACTTTTAAGTTCATGCTCACCCATGAATTGTGCTTTAAAAAAATGATCTGGTGCATCTTAGCGCATGCGCCTCATTAGTGTTAACATTCATTAAATTGATCCAAAAATAGAGATCTCTTATTAAGCTTCTTATGATAACTTTTTCTTTTACCAGAATCCAACTCTATATACACATGTGTATATTTCAATTTGTATTAATGGGCTTTAATAACTAATAAAATGTTTTATTGCGCTTCATGAATATATTTGAGAAATTTAAAGTGTATGCCAATATATTGGATTTTATTTAAATTAAAAAAAACTAACTGAAGGATTATATAAATGTTCCAACAAGCTTAGAAAACATTTTTTTTTTTTTTTTGTGTTTTAAGAAGTTATTTTATAGCATTTTTTAAATACAATATCCTATTAACTAATTTATGACACTATTGAGATATGTTTTATAAACACATCTTTTCAAATAGTTCATATAAAATATGTAATACGATACTTTATTCTTAAAATGTCATATAATATTGTTAAAACATCCAAAAATGACTTATGAATTTATTATAACAATTTTAGATAATTTGGTTTATTCTTTGATACTATAAAACGGTTTATTAAGACACTTAATCATTTTTGTGTCCAATAAACCTAATTTGTTGTAATAAAAGATATTTTTTACAATAAAATAAAGAGTAAATTGCAAATTTGATCCATGTGGTTTGTTGTTTTTCTTGCTTTGGGTCCCTACAAAACTTTTATTGCAAGAAAACCCTCGTGGTATGCAAAAGTGTTTGGTTTAGGTCCGTGAGACTAGCTTCATCAGATTCCCTCCTGTTAAACCCCCTCATATGCCTTACACATGGAGGGTATTTTGGTCTTTTGAATCACCTTGTTTTGTCCTTTTCGTTTTATTAGATTTTTTTGTTTCTCTGTTATATTTTACTATACCACCCACCCACCCACCACCATTACCACCACCAGCACCAACAAAATATCTGGACCTCCACCATCTCAAACCACCATATTTCAGCTTACTACCACAATAAATATTTCATCTAAAAACAAAATATAAATATTGAACACATTCAAAGAAAATTAAAAGAGATTGAATCAAAATACAATAATTCAAACAAACACATCTCAATAATATCATAATATATTTGTATAAATATTAAATCAAAAATCTAAATATTTCCCATAATCATACCCCAAATAAAACCCTAAACCCAAAACCATAACTAAACTCCAAAAACATGACGATGGTGATGAAAAAGAAGAAACATCGTATTTTGGATGTGGTTGTGAAGTTCGATTGGGATTTGCATTTGACGCCATCACCAAATTCTGTCACCATGGTCATAGATGGCGGTGCCCTTTCGGTTAGTGAGAGGGATGGATGGAGTTAGTAAGAAAGGAGGAAAACCATAATAGTAAGAGATGAGGAGAAAAGAAAGAGAAAAAGTTAGCAATAGGGGTTCAGAAGGTGGCGGATGGGGTTCCTGACTAAGGAGAGGCCATGCATGGAATTATCTGGTGCTTCATAGTAAAAGCCGCAAATCTTGACTAGATTAGGAGTGACGATCCCTTCTCTACTTCTTAAATTCTTACCATTTCTCAAATAAACCTACGACTATAATATCAGAGTAAATTGCAATTTTGGTCCCTGTAGTTTGTTGTTTTTAGTGAAGAATGGAAAAAAGGGTAAAATCACCCATATACCCTCATGTGCAAGGCTCATGAGGAGGTTTAACATGAGGGTACCTGACAAAGTTAGTTTCAGAGACCCAAACCAAACACTTTTGCATACTACGGGGATTTTCTTGCAATACAAATTTTATAAGGACCTAAACCGAAAAACAACGTACCACAGGGACCAAATTCTCATTTTACTCTAGAATCTCATTAAAGCACTTGAATATACAAAATAAAGAGTATTGTTTAAATTTATTTACTAATAATTTTGGTAATCATTGTTTTTAAGGGTGTCCTAAACTATGTATGGATTAATCGTAGCAAATTGTGACGATAAGAAATCAGCTCTAATAAACTCAGTGACCACAATTGTTGTGTACGTCTAGAATCGAACCATGGATAAATGGGATATTCCACCACATCTCCTACCACAACCCTTGTGGTTAATCAATTTTCCCTTAAAAATAACAAAAAATAAAACTTCAATAAATTAAAAAAAATGTTTTAGACATACTTTTTTTTTGTTGCTTAAAAGTCTACTTTAAGCTTGATGTATCTAATTCAAGGCTCTGAAAAAAACGGTTGATACCATAATGGATGCGTAAAAAAAAGTAGAATGTTTAACCAGAGAGCTCTACAAAGCCACAAGTACATCAAAAAGGGTCATTTGATAAAGACAATAAATAGCTCTCGAAGTAAATCATAGCTAACACACTTAATTAAAAAAAAAAAACCGAATAAGATTAACAACCATGTGTTTATTTCTTCATTGTCAATATTTAATAAAAGCAACCTTTTTGAAACGTATTAAATTATATGTGCTTATATATATGTGTGTGTGCACACACACCTATTGCATATCTTAATTAAATCACCACACAAAAATGAGAAATTTTGAAAAAGATGTTCCTGGGGGCAAAAACGAACCCAGATACGAGAAAATATTGATGTCCGATGTGGTCGTGACGAAGAAGAGGAGCCTATTCAGAGGTGGTACATGGAGGTCCTTGGACATCAAAATGGCTCTTTGGTTCTTAACCATTCATTTGTTGACATTATTTGCACCATTTACGTTTACTTGGGGTGCTTTTTGGACAGCATTTGTGGGCTATGTGTTGAGCACGATGTTTGGTATAAGTATATCTTATCATAGAAATCTAGCACACCGTAGTTTCAAGTTGCCCAAATGGCTCGAATACTCGTTCGCCTATATAGGGGTTCAAACTGCTCAGGTTATTTTATCTCTCTTCTTTCGAATATTTTGCAGCTTAAATGAATCTTTATTATAAAATGAAACTGATGTTTTATATATTTTTTTTTCTTTATGATATAGAGGGATCCAATATATTGGGTGAGCATTCATAGATACCATCATCAATATGTTGATAAAAACAAAGATGCACACTCTCCCATATATGGATTATGGTTCAGTCATATGGGTTGGCTCTTTGATAGCTCCATCATTATGGAAAATGTACGTACTCTATTTTTGTCTCGAATCAAATTTAATTAATCTTATAGACCAAGTTAATTAGTTACTCTTTATGCATGTAATTTACAGTATCAAAAACGTAGCAATGTCGAAGATCTAAAAAGCCAATCATTCTATAGATTCATCAAAAGAACTTATGTTTGGCATGTACTTGGATTTGCCGCCATCGTGTACGCTCTTGGCGGATTTCCGTACCTTGTTTGGGTCATAGTAAGGGTTTCCTTCGCAAAAAGATTTTGATGTATAAATATATTAATACGAGTATGTTGCTCACTCTTATGAGGTTACTTCTGGTTGTAGGGTGTGAGACTCACTTGTACTTACCATGTGATATTTATGGTGAACTCGGTTTGTCACACATGGAGAAAGCGATCATGGAAAAGTACAGATCTATCCAAGAACAACTGGTACAACTTTTAAAGGTTATATCTTGTTTAAGCATTGTGTATATAGTACAAACTAAACCTAGGTGAATATACAGGTGGATGGCAATACTTAGTTTTGGAGAAGGGTGGCATAACAATCATCATGCATTTGAGTCTTCAGCTAAATTTGGATTAGAATGGTGGCAGTTTGACTTTGGTTGGTGTGTGATACGGTTTCTTGAAGCATTAGGGTTAGCCACCAATGTTAAGCTACCAACCGAGGCTCAGAAGCTTAAGAAGTCCCTCACTTCGACCGACGGATGATCCCGTAGCTTTGGTGCTCCGACGTCCATTGGCAACCAAATAAACATCAGCTGAATACTGAATGGTTTATTATAAGGGTTATATGTGTGATACTTGTAAATGCGTGCATTTAAGTTTAAATAATGTTTTAAAGAAAAATATAATGGTGAGAGAGGATTTTAAGCGATGTGTGAATTAAACTTTAAGGGTGTTGTTGTATTTACATACTCATCTCTCTTTGAGAACATATTTACGTATTTTTTTCCTATCTCCTAATTCTTTTGATTTTATATTGTTTCGTTCATAATGTAATAAATGAATTTGTTTTAAGCTTCTAATTTCGGATCTTTTATGTTTACGACGGTTGGAGGTTCAAAAAGAAATTGAATAAGACGAAAAAACAAACAAGATTTTTTTAACAAACGTGAAGAATATAAGATCTGATGGAGGACATATGGCATTAATTATTTGGTTCTTTAGAAAGACAAAGAAATTAAAGTCGCGCAAATGATTGTTTTGATTATAAATATTCAAGAAAATGGAAAACTGAATTGTTAAATTATTAAATACTGAAAAATGATGGAACGACTGTTATTCTCTCACAAGTTTACAGAGATGATCAATTATTATTACGTAAGATATCAAATCCAAAACAAAATATAATACAAGATTTTTTTTTTGTAATAGTTGAGAATAAAGAACCAAATCCATAATTTTTCACATACTAACAAGAAATAGTAAATAGATTAACAATATTATGTATTGAAATTTTTCTTTACATGAATTTGTATATAAATTATATAATTAATCAATTTGCCTATCACATGTATATGTGGTATGTATATATGTATATGTGTTATATATATATATATATATATATGTGTTGGTTGCTAATAGGGATAATTAAATCTATGTTTATATTGTTGAAGATACATGTGTCGGATGATATATATATATATATGTATGTATGTATGTATGTATGTATGTATGTATGTATGTATGTATGTATGTATGTATGTATGTATGTATGTATGTATGTATGTGTATGCGTCATATATATACATGTGGATGTGTTATATGTATATTTACCTGTCGGCCCATATTATATGCATATGTATACACGATGTGTATATATGTGTGTTGGTTGCTAACCATGATTGGATCTATGCATATATTATTGAAGATACATGTATCTGATGATGTATATATGTTGTGTATATGTGAATGTATAGATAATGTATGTGTTATATGTATACATGTGTATGCGTCATATATATACATACACGATGTGTATATATATGTGTCGGTTGCTAACCACGATTGAATCTATGTATATATTGTTGAAGACACATGTATTGGGTGATGTATATACGTTTAAATGTATGTGAATGTACAGATATATGTGTGTTGTTTAGGCTTTAATGGGTTAAGTATATTGGGTTTTAATGAGTCTTAGTGACCTATAATGGATACGTTTTCCCCCTCCCCCACCTTCCGGTAGTTAAACTGTATGAATTTGAACATTAGATTGTATGAATTAGATATTTTAAATTGTATGAATTGGTTGGTTTTAATTTATTTGGAAAACTAGAAGAGAAAGAAACTAATTATATAATATAAATATCTATCCGAGCATATTATGTTTAATGCTTCACACATTTATGATAAATAATAAATAAAAAAATCATTACATTTCGACAAAAGACCCGATTCTATTCATTTAATATCATTTTGGTGTCATTGACATAATAAATGTCCTTTCCTTTGAAAAGTTGTTTACAGAACGTCGATAAATAATCCACGGAGCTGCCAACACAATTTTGATTTTTTATTTTATGGGCATGTTTTAGATAAATAAATAAGTAAATCTTAAATTATTTATTTTTAAGTTATTAAAAATTAGCGACGGATCTAGATCCTTGTCCCTCGCTAAAGGTCCCTTGTTAATCCATCGCTGAAAGTGTTCCGTCACTAATTCGTCACTGAAAGATTTCTGTCGCTAACCCATCATTGAAATTATTCCGTTGCTAATCAGTCGTTGAAAGATTTTCCTCGCTAATCCGTTGCTGAAAGTATTATGTCGCTAATTTGTCGTTGAAAGTATTTTGTTGTTAATCCGTCGCAAAAAACACTTGTCACTGATCCGTCTGTAAAATCCATCACTTGTAGCATTATGTACGAGTTTTTGACTAACGGATTATCAACAATGAATGAGCGACGGACGCCTTCTTTAGCGACGGAATCTCCGGTCGCTGATACTCCTATTTTTGTAGTGATACTTTAAACAACCTAGATTAAAACTTCCAAAAATATTGAATATATGGATTGATAAAAAAAAGTAGATTCAAGTAACGACAAATAAATAACTATTAAATTCCAGTTTATTATAAATACAAAAATAAAATTATAGTTATATTTATAATAACACTTTAATATTTATAAATATTATATTTATGAATTTATATTTTATTTTATGTTTGATGTTGAACTATATTATTTAATTCGTAATTCAAAATGGATATTGTTTCTTACTAATTACTGTTACCAATTATCCATTTCGTTATCTGTTATTTTGATGGGTAATATACGAATACTGATAATTCAGTTTAATTACTCGCTATTTTAAATGGATATGATAAGTGATAATGAAAGGTATTTAGGGATATGACCTTAAATGAGTTTTTAATTAAATTCATGACCTTCTGACCTATTTAAGAAAAAATGACTTTATACTCATTAGATTTAACTGAATCTCAGTTCGGGTTATATACTTAAAAGTCTCTATTCATACCCTACATCTTACAGTCCCTATTAATTAAGCTGTAAATCTCGTAGGCTTCCTCATATCTGGCTACCTTCTCTGATGAAGCCCCGCCCTAAAACAACGGGCCATTTAGGGATTTGACCTTATATGAAATTTTAATTGAATTCATGACCTCTTGGTCTACTAAAAATCACTTTATACTCGTCAGAAGGTTATGGATTTAATTAAAATCTCATTTAATGTCATATATTTAAATATCTCCAAAACGGCCCCTCGTCACCCACCCCCATTTCACTGTTTTTCATTCTCCACTCTTTTCAGTCCTTCTTTAACGATTGCTCTGATGGTCACATGCTAGACACATAGAGTGACTTAACAGTCCTTTGACTACCAAAATTTTAGTTTAGCACAAAGACGAATTATGTATTTTACCGTAAAATAAAATATATAAAAAAAATGGTTAATTTTTTTTGAAGTGTTCAAAATATGACTCTTATGTATATGTAATTTTCTTATTTAAAAAGGAATGGTATTTTTAAAAAAGAAAATGTTGATCCAGTCTAATAATAATAAATAAATTTTCATAAGAAAATTAATAAAATATAGATACAATAAAGGATAATATGGTTGTTGTTATTATTTTTATTATTAATTTTTTAATAAAATAATGATGAATATAATAAATAAAAATAATAGTGTAATATTACTACTACCATTACTAACAACAACAACAACAACAATAAAATGGTTGTTTTTTATAATTTATATTATTTTACGTTATATTTCGTCGATTTTCAATTTAAAAGTTGAGAGAAATATTTTTATTTTAAAAAAAATGATTATAATTTTTTAATCATATTTGTTGGATCATCTTAATCAACGGTTTAAATGTGTTATTCAGTTCTTTTTTCAAGAATTCTCTTTAGATATTCTCAATAAAAGATTTTTTTAGATGATAAATTCACATTCTTAAAATTATATCCATTTTATTGTGGACATATATTTTGAAATAAAAAATAAAAAATAATTTTATAAATAAAAAAAACTTGAGCCATGCAGGTTGGGATATGATGAAAAGGCCTTGGGAACCTTTCTATTCAAATTAGATGCATTATTAAAACTAGACACTTTCATGATCCTTTTAAAGTTCCATTAATACTAATCAAAAATATGAAATCATATAACTTGAAAATACTTAAGCAATTAGTTTTCCATCTTTTAAACCAACTAAATAATTACATACTCGCGCTCAAAATACCGACAAACCCGGTTAAGCTGACCTGAAAAATTTTAAGAGACTCAACCTGAGTTAACCCGATACATAGTTGATGCAACGATTTGACACATCAATGATGATTTGACGAGACATCGAGGGCGATTTTCATTGGTATTTTGTCTTTTTAGGACGAAATGTAGTATCTATATAAATCTTGTAGTATTCTCTATAAAATTGTAGTGATCCAAACACTTTTACTCTCACAACTCTTAATTGGTATACACAATCTACCATCACAACCCTTAACACAAATATAAACTCACCTTAAAGTGATGATGATTCCATGTATGTTCAAAGTGACGGGTTAAGGATTGTGAGAGTAAAGGTGTTCAAATCACTACAATTTTATAGAGAATACTACAAGATTTTTATATATTACATTTGGTGATAAAAAAGAAAAAATACCAAGGAAAATCGCCCCCAATGTCTCACCAAATCGTCATTGATGTGTTAAATTGTTGCGTCATAAGTTGTCTTCACTAAAAGACGAAATAAAAGTCAAAATCGCCCCATGGGGCGATTTTCACTTTTTGAGGGCGATTTGCCTATTTTCAAATATAATATATGACTTTTGACACCTAAATGTATACATATAGGACCATCTAGGGACGATTTTGATTTTTGTTAATGTACGATGTATAAAATAGTCTTTTAAGTAATTTCCCTTTTTAAAAATGTTTCTAAAAGTTGACTAAAAATGATTTTAATTAATAGAATTAATTATTTCGATGAATTTTCTCAACTTTATATAAATGGTAGTCTGAATGGTAGTTTTATATGTATTAAATTTGAATATTAATGTTCTGAAATAGGATCTGCAAGCCTTTATGCATTACATGCATGCAACCAATATTAATTAAGACTGAGATTTATTATATATAATAAAATTAATTTTATATAACATAAAATATGCTATCATCCTTTGTTTTATTGACTTACTCAACTTCATTATCATATAATTTCTTAGCTTATCTATTTTCCTTCTATCAACTGAAGGGCAAATAGGTAATTATTATTTGGAAGTTATTTTTATGGTATTTAATGAGATGTTACAAATTTTTATGTATAAGTTATTTTTATGGTATTTAATGATGTTCATAACATAAGATATTCATAAGAATGTGTGCATAACCATAAGGCGTTCATAAGAATATATGCATAATCATAGGACCAAATGTAGTGTGTATATATATATATATATATATATATATACATACATATAGAAGTGAATTATTATGCAACTCTTTACATTTGTACAACCAATACAACTCAATCTCAATCGTCCATTTAATTTGATGAATATGTGATTTCATAAAAGTTTTGATTGTTTTCTAATATAAAATATTGATCATAATTAATGAACATTAGTCACCTTCCATAAATATTCAAATCATAATAAATGAACTCTCATCATTACCATAAATATCTCAATTAATTGGGTTGCATTAGTTGTACAAATGTAATGTGTTGCATTTAAAACGTCATCTAATATACAAAAAGTCGTACGGAAATTAATATATCCGGCTGATATGATGGAAATCTCACCGAAAATACCCATTATTCTGGTAGTGATAACAATACCTAATATACAAAAAGTCGTACGGATGGTAGTTGTAATTTATTATTTGCAGAAGCTCCATAACTTTCTTTGTTGTATAGTCATGTGAAATTAAATCGTTCAATAGTACTTTCAGGGGGTGAGGTGTCCATTAGTAGTGTACATGTAATTGATTATTAATATATTCAGTTGAACTCTCCTTTTTTACGACTTGTTACGGTGTTGTCAGTGTACATTTTGTGTCGGGAAATCGCTCAAAATGGCGGTTTCTCTCACATCGATCAGTCCCCTAATCATTACTATTCTGTTTTTTATCTGAATATCACGACCAACGTAAATGTCACATCCATAATTTATGCTCAGATCTACAAGTCATGGAGGTGCCACTTGCGAAGCTGAACAGAGATTGTAATTTTTTATCATCTCTTTATCTTTATCCACCACATTATCATCGTTCTGGTTTTAACTTTCAACTTTAATGTAACACAAAAACTCTAGCATAAATCAGTAAAATTGGAACTAATTTCTTGGTGTTTTATTTATAACTAGAAGGATACTCGCACAATGTAGCGAAATACATCCTGATTTTAGTGTTTCGTTTTTTTTTGTCTTAGTCGATGTTATAATACGGTTTTATGTTGTTTTGAGAAAGATATAATGTTTTTATTTTTTAATAAAATATAAATATGAAGATATCATAAAAAAATACTGATATTAGAATCAAGCTAATTATTTAAAAGTTCTCGTTTTTTTGTGTATTTCTTTAATTAATTTTTTAAAATTTTTGGTTTAATAATATAATTTTTTATAAATATAATAATTAAGTATTTTGTTAGAACTTAATGATTATCCTAATTATATTTTAGTTCTTTTATATTTAAAATAAAATGGTTATCTTCTATTTGATTGTGTTTATCTGAAGTTAATTACACGAATTCAAACATGAAACTTAATAAGTTGCATGTACACAGAGTTTACTTGTAATCTTGAATTTTAAGTAATATGCATCAATAAACAATACTTCATACATAAAAAATAGTTTTTAAAAGTTTTTGTCAAATATTTTATAATATAGTATAGATTTATAGCTATAAGTAATTTTTATTTTATACGTAGGCTAATTATTTTGTGGTACCACTTGAAATAATATTTTGAATCCGTCTCTATCTTGAAATAAATCTCATATTTTATTTAATAAAAAATAAAATAGAATAAGATCAACAATAGCATGTTATTTAGTTATGCACAATTTTCATGACAACCACCCTTCCCAAATGTAGTAAACTTTATGTACTTATAAATATGTGCACATAATGCATAAATAAAATCACCACACAAAAGTGAGAAATTCCATGGGTTCTCTTTCAGAGGGCAAAAACGAGTCTGGATGTGAGAAAATATTTATGTCCAATGTGGTCGTGACGAGGAAGAAGAGCGTATTCAGAGGTGGTGTATGGAGGTCCTTGGACGTCAAAATGGGTGTCTGGATCTTAACCGTTCATTTGTTGGCGTTATTTGCACCATTTACATTTACTTGGGGTGCGTTTTGGACAGCATTTTTCGGCTACCTGTTGTGCTTTATGCTTGGCATAACTATCACTTTTCATCGAAATCTAGCACACCATAGTTTCAAGTTGTCCAAATGGCTTGAGTATACATTTGCTTATTTCGGGGTTCAAGCTGGTCAGGTTATTCTTTTACATCTCTTCTTTTTCTATTATACGCATGTCTTAAAAAGCATCTTCATTTCATAACGAAAACCGATGTCTTATGAGAATGTCTTATTTCATGTTTTACCGTTTAAGTAGTAAAATCGTTACTATTTATATGGTCTTTTAATTGCAGAGGGATCCAATATATTGGGTTAGTATACATAGATACCATCATCAATACACTGAATCAGACAAAGATCCGCACTCTCCCATCAACGGCTTTTGGTTTAGTCATATGGGTTGGCTCTTTGATAGCAACTTGATTATCGAAAATGTAAGTACTCTTTTTTGAGCTGAAATTAAAACACGAAGAAATTACGTAAAAAAAATTATCAATACCAAGTTAATTACTTTTTACATGCATAATTACAGTATCAAGCACGTAACAATGTCGAAGATCTAAAAAGCCAAGCATTCTATAGATTCATTAAAAGAACTTATGTGTGGCACATACTTGGATTTGCCGCCATTGTCTACGCACTCGGTGGATTTACGTATCTTGTTTGGGTTATGGTAAGGCTTTTCTTTGTTATAAATAATTTTGATTTACAAATATAATCAAATTACTATGATGCTCAATCTTGTGGGGTTACCGTCTTATTGTAGGGTGTGAGACTCGTGTGGTGTTACCATATAACGTTTCTAGTGAATTCAGCTTGTCACATATGGGGAAACCGATCATGGAACACTAGGGATCTCTCTAAGAACAACTGGTACGTCTTTTAAAACTTGTATCTTCTTCAAACGTTGTACATAGTACAAACTGAACCTCATGTAAATACAGGTGGGTGGCAATTGTTACTTTTGGAGAAGGGTGGCATAACAATCATCATGCATTTGAGTTTTCAGCTAAGTTTGGATTGGAATGGTGGCAGCTTGACATTGGTTGGTGTGTGATACGGTTTCTTGAAGCATTGGGGTTAGCAACCAACGTTAAGCTGCCAACCGAGACTCACAAGGTTAAGAAATCCCTAGCTTCGACTGACTGATACAAGGGTGATCTTGTAGTTGTGGTGCTCTTATGTCTATTGGCATATGAAATAAACATCACTTGAACATTAAGTGGTTTATTATGAGTGTACTAATAATTTATATGTGACTTGTAAATCGATCAAGTTAAATTTTAAAGGTGATGTTTTCGAAAAAAATTGTAATCTTAAAAAGAGGATTTGAACCATATATAAAAACTTTAGGGTGTTGCTATTTTCGATTGCTTATCTTCAATGTGTATATTAATTCTTTTTTCTCTCTCCCCGACATTTACTCATGTCCTTTTCTCACATTTTCCTTTTATACATTATGCCACTATCACCTAAAAAGGTACAGAAAAGATATTGTTGGGATCGGTAATGATCTAGGACTGATCTTGATATAAAAAGGTCTGGCTGAAGAATCAGTTATAGGTAAAAGTCTTTTTCAGTCTGCGGTTTTGAATCAGGAACCAATCATGGAGCAGATAAAAAAAGCATGTCAAAGCCTAAAAACCAGTCATTTGTTTAACCGAAACCCAGTCCGATAAAATAAAAGCATGGTTAAATCTCAAAGTCTCGCATTCAAATGCCCGAGAAAACCCATCTAAGACCTGTCGCTTTGACCCCATTTTAAAAACTAAAAGAATATTAAAAGAATAATTTTTGCTCATCAATAATTAAATTAATATAAGAAAATTTTGTAAAATGTTTTAAAGATATGTCGTCGTTTTTACATGTGCCTTAGCTTTAAAACCCAACATGTAACACAAAAGGGGTTGCAGGTTTATTAGAAGGAATGTCGAATTATTTAAATCTAAACACCACTCAATTTTATAATACTAAGTTATAGATAAAATAAAATAAATATCATATGGAATTTGTCTTTTGTTAAATACGTAATGTTAGTTTTTGAAGTTTATGTATTTTTTTTATTAAAAAAATCTAGTAATAGTAATAAATGATAATAAATAAGACTTGTAATCACGTGAGACCAGTCTGTTTTTGTGAGACCAAATGTTTTACACTTAAAATTTCACAGCAAAACGCTATAAAAATAACATTCACAGTGTTTTTTTATTATTAATTATTAATATTAATAATAATAAAAAAAATTATGCTAATGATAAGAGAATGTAAATTAATAATAACCATTATGCAAAAGTATAATAATGGAAGGATATTCAATGGCCTTAAGAAGTAAAACCAAATGGTTTATAATTTTTTAACGAAATAAATATAAGAAAATAATTTTTAGTCCGTTACGATTGATCTACATTCTCGGTTTATTTACAATTGTAGCCCCTTATAGTTCAACATGTTTCCATTTAAACCCCATAACTTTACTTTTCTTTAAAAAAAACCCAATTCACAAATGAAAGGTTCTACAACTTTGGAAATGGTCGTTTAAAACCGTTGCTTGTATACCCTGCCCCTAAAAGTGGAGGCCGAAGAACCATCAGGTTATCGATGACACGTGCAAAGAGAGTCCCATCTTTTTCGACTATGATTTACAAACATCCCCATGCGGTAACCTGCCCATGACCAAATATTTATTCAACAAATTAAGGGTAAATACTTGCCAACTTCTCTATAGTTGGAGGTCTTATAAGTAAAATAACCCCTAAACTCCTACAAGTTAGGGTTATAGTTATTGACAAAGTCATCTCCCACCATTTTATGTGATTAACCTCCTCTATATTTTAGAAAAATAACTTCCTCGTAACCCACCCCACCCCCCAACCCCACCCCCACCCCAACCAGGGGTATTTTAGTCATTTCAAGTTATAGTGTTGTTAAACAAAAAGGACAGTATCTTCCTCAGGTAATCCTTTGCTTTTCACTGTCTTTCTTTGACTCCTCTCCTTCAAAGGTCTACCTCTTCTTGTTCTTTTTCAAAGGTTCACTACAACACTGATTGAATTGCTTAATCTTGTTAATAATTACACCTTAATTACGATTAATTATCTGTTAATTACTACTTAATTACTTTCAGTTGAAAAGGGTTTTCATTACTATGATTATCTTTGATGAATTATGTGTTTTTTTCGTTTCAGATAATAGAAGTTATTAACCATTCTCTCAATGGCTCTTGGGTTCTACACCAACTGGTCAGATCATCATGACACCGCCGGCTACTCCTCTCTTTTCCGGCCACCATCACCGGAGCTACCACCGGAGCTCTTTGCTTTCAGTGAAAGCTCTACACTTTACGATAATTGCATCAACCAACTCTTTGATCCCAACTACAGTAACAACAACCTAGATCAGTTTCCTACTTATTCCAATGTTCTTCCACCCATTACACCCGCCGACGCCGCCGGCCATGTCTTTGCTCCGTCACCGGAGTTTCAAGTCTCCAGCTTTTCCTATGAAGATCCATACCTGAACCACTTACCATACTCGACCACATTTGATCATCATCAGCAGCAGCATTTGTCACATTTCTTTATGATGGAACACCCCATGGGCATTGCGGCGGCGCTGCCACCTTCACAACTGCCGGAAATCTACCAAGATGGTGGAGGTGGTGCTACATTGTCGTCTTCATGGTACGACGGTGGACGTGGGTATAGTAAGGATAAGGTTGAAGAGAGCAGTAGAGTACAAGTGACCGGAAAACAGAATGCAGGTGGCGGAGGAGGGATGATTAGGTTATCGGCGCAGAGTATGGCGGCGAGGGTACGGCGGAGGAAGATAAGCGAGAAGACACAAGAGCTTGGAAAGCTGATTCCCGGCGGCCATAAGATGAACACGGCGGAGATGTTTCAAGCTGCTTTCAAGTACATCAAGTTCTTGCAGGCTCAAGTTGGTGTCTTAAAACTCATGGATTCAATTCCGGTGAGTAATCTAATTCTAAGCCATGCATCCATTATATTGTTTAGCATTGTAATTAAGAGTAAATGGATGGATGGATGCAGGAAGATGAACAAGGGATGGATAATGGAGAATTAATGGAAGCTTTGGTGACGTCTACGTCGATGCAAGAGAAGTTGTACAGTGCAGAGAAGTGCATTGTATCCAAACACTTTGCAGAAACCCTAGCAATTAATTAATTAATTAATTAGCTAATATAATTAACTTGAAATTAATTAACCAACAATTAACCGCTATTTTTATTTTAATTACTTGATTAGTAGTTTAATCAAGTAATTTAGGGTTCAATGTATTCCCCCTTTTTGTGGGTATGTTGGATCTTAATTCATCTTTCTCTTTTATTTATCTCTTGTAAATGTGTAATTAAGCTCATTTTCAAGAAAATGAATTTGTGTTTTTTTTATTTGTATTTCTTTATAAATAGAGTATTGATTGACAAATTTACCCTCGTAGATATATACATCATTTGTATGTAGTAAATAATCGCGTAATATGTTCATGCAACCATGAAGATTTAGTGTAACGATGAGTCCAAACCATCTGTGATCACCCAAGGTATTAGTCTGAATGTGTAATTAAATTTGTTTTAATACCCATGTTTACGGTTATCTGAAAAAATATCCTTATTCTTCGTTAGATAAAAAGAATAGATGACCAAAATTTAAGCGACTAAAATATATATAGTTGTAGTTTATTACGAACGGAAAAAATAACAAATCTAGAACAAAAAAAGAGCTCGTTTATTTTTATGAAAATTATCATCATTAGTTATTTTTATTTCATAAAATTGTGCGATCTCTAATCAAAATCATCACAACATAACCGAATCATTTCATTCTTAATTCGAGAAACGATGCTCTCTTTTTTCAATGTATCATCATCTTCTTTTCAGCTACTTTCTCATATCTTTCTCATCTCCCGTTCATTCTAAATGGTTCTTTCACTAAGTGCGAAAGCTGTGTACTTGATGTCATGCACCTATGGAATACAAGAATTTTGATGTTCCAGAAACATATCTTCAGGCTACATAAAATTAGTGGAGGTACATACAAGTTGGTATTGACATCCATGATTAATGAATGTGGATTGTGGAGGCAAGAAATTTTGTTAGTTGGGCTCAAGCTGGTATTTTGCAATTCATGGGCTTATCTTTGATAATTCACATCTTATTATATTTTTCGTCTCAAAATAAATATTTATTTTTAAAGATAAATGTCTACTTTCTTATTTTATTCTTAATTATTAGATTGAGAAAATATTTTTCTTTATAATTAAGAGTAAAATTGTTATTTTATTAATTAAAATGTGTAATAATTGTATATTTTTAAAATTGAATGTTTTTTCATTGTTGACAGTTATTTTGGGATGCAGAGAGTATAATATTTATATACAATAAACGCAACAACAAATTTACACCCATCTTACATTTGGTAAGAATTGAAACCCTTGACCTCTTGATTGGCCAAATGCTAGGGGTGTGCATCAGGTGGGACTGGTTCGGATAGACAAACCAAAAATATAGCAGGATTTGCATATAGAAATTAACCAAGCCTCGAATTTTGGGTTTTAAATCTCGGATTGCTTTATATTTGGGTTCATCGGCTTTCGGATATAGTTATAATGCAATATATATATATATATATATATAATATTCAAATCGATTGAGATGATTGATGAAATTAATAATAAGTTTAGAAACTAGAAAAAAAAATACGACCAACTATAGTTTAGGATTTTCAAAAGATAAAAAATATATTTATAAAATATTTAAAATATATATGTGCATGAATTGCGCTTGATACAGAGATTGATCTAGTGCATCTCATCCGAATGTATATATAAGGGTGAAGATCATTTCTTACGCTTCTGAACTTAACTATCATTTTCACCGGAATCCAATCCTATATATATATATATATATATATATATGTATATAGGGTTGGGTTCACGTGAGACCAAAGGTTTTTCGTGAAACCCGTGAGACCAATTTATGTTCATTGATCAACTTTATAAGTTAATGATCTAATGGTCTAAAGTTGTATGCTGACAATTTTGTAATTATTAAGAAGTCTCGTGGCAATTTTGTGATTATAAATGTTGAGATTGTAGATCTAATCCAAGGGTTGAGAATTGGTAAACGGGTCTGACGAAAAAGCATTTGTCTCATATGATCCCAAGTCTATGTATGTGTATATATATATATATATGTGTGTGTGTGTGTGTGTGTGAAAATCATGTATGATTTTAACGTGAATCATATATGATTTTTTGTACATTAATGACATTTTTCTTAAATAGTTAGCGTTCTCATTTGAACACCTATATATATATATATATATATATATATATAGGGGGAAGATCAAATGTTAACCAATAATTTTGTGTTAACTTTGAAAATCATGGCAACCAATCAAATTTCATTCTTCTTGTAGGTTTATGTCATGTTCACATTTTAATTACAA